AAGGAGGTGCAGGTCCTCATTGGGGAAGGGTGGCTCAAACCAAAAGGGGTTCCCATTTGAAGCCATTGGAGCATCCATTCAAAGAGGGCAACAGAGGTAGCAAGGGCAGCAAGCGAGCCTCTAACCAAATATCCTATTGGGGACACAGGCCGGGAGTGGGTCAAGTGTTGTGGGTCAAAGTGGGCTGCTTATGGAGAGAGCTCCCAGAGGAAGTACGCCTATGTTCTTTGAAGAACTCCTATGTTCTTCAACACTGATAACTAAAAAAGGTACATTTTACTTTCTATAAATTTTAACTTAATAAATCTGAGGCTTAAAACAGTAACAATCAAGGTCAAGATTAAAGGAATGCTACACATAAAACATGTCTCTCCTGCTTACATACTCTTTAAACATTAGCAATCGCTCTAGTAACAATAGACAAGAAGGGGTTAGGTGGTGTCAGGAAAAGCAGAATAGGCGCACGAACCAGGGTTCTAATCTGGCTCTTTTCTATGTTAGCTAGAGGCTGAGCTGTGTACGGGAGTTCACTTGCTTACTGTTAAGGTGAAGTTAGACAGTATGTGTGAAATATCCGTGAAAACTGTAGAGCCACATAGGAATGTGAGAAATGGGACAGTTCATGAGAGCCATGCAGTATATCAGAGGGCTCCATAACCCGGGGTGTGGAGGTCACTTTCCAGGGTAAGAACACGTGGTGCGTTGTGAAAAGGGGAGTACATCTCTCTTAACAGCGTTGGTCCTCAAGCCTACATAGGTCTCTGTTGGCTCCAGGTCGATTTTGAAGACAACCCAACTGCCCTAAAGCGGTGTGGCCACGCCGCTCGATGGAATGCCGACCCTGGAACCAAGAAGAGATGCGTTTGGCAGAACCCCTTTCTGGACTGGACAACGTGGTAGGAGTCAGGCAGCATCCGTTTCTACAACTTCCCAGCAGCCTCTGGAGGAAGGAGGGAGGGAGGTCATTGCACCGCCGCCTTTCACTTCAAGGGCGTCTTACTCTTACGGGTTCCCACCCCTGAGTGCGCGGCTGACTCCAGCGGGGCACCCAGAGGCAGTCGCTGCCACAAACTCATCGGGGAGGCCGGGGTCCCAGGAGGAGCCCACAGGGCTGAGCCGGGTAATAAAATACTGCGTTTCGGCTCTTCTTCAAGGAACAGCCTGGGCCTGACCTCCAAGGAGGGCCAAAGCTTGAACCCACAACCCCGTGGGACCCCCGCTGAATTTGCTCGCCTCTAGAGGGCGGACAGCCGTCACGTGACAGCAGACACGCCCCGGAGGGCTGGGTCCACCCGGCACGTGGTTTGGTTCCCGTTCACTTCGACTGAAACCCCAACACGACGAACCTAAAAGTTTGCGGGAGCGCGTTTCCTTGCCGGCGAGTGGACTCTCAGCCACCAGCCTCCAGAAAGCGCTCCTCACGCCGGAAGTGCACTAAGGCGCAGCACGTGGGGTTGCAGGGCGCTCTTTCACGTGACTGGGCGGGGCCTTTGGGAACCTGGTAGCCAATGGCAGCCCGAGGGGGCCGTGCCTGTGACGCGCCGGACCTATCCCGGAAGTGGGCTGAGGTGGGGCGGAGAGGGCGGGAGGCCGGGTGTGAAAGTGTGGCGGCCCCGCCCCGTGTCTTGGAATTGCCGCGGCCGCCACCGCTGCCTCCGCTGCAGCCGGAGGGGACCCGCGCCGGTGCGCAGAGGGAAGGCGCTCTTTCTTCGCTGAAAGGTGAAAACAGAGGGGAAAACTGGGGGGGCTGGGCCCGGAGCGAGGCAGGTCAGGGGGAGGCGGCCGGAGCCGAGTCCTCACGAGCGAAGGAGGAAGGATAGATGGGGGAACCGAGGCGAGCGCGGGACCCGCCTGAGCGAAGGCCCGTGTGCGGCCGGGCCGGACTGGGGATGCCCCCCGGGCCAGGGGGCGTCTGAGAGGCGGGGACTACCGCGCCGGGGTCCGGGGACGGAGTGCACGCCCGAGGCTCCCGGGTTGGACGCTGCTCGTCCCCATTCTTGGCGGGGGCGTGCGGCCTGGGCTGGGTCCCCGCAGCGGAGATGGGGCGGCGGCGGCGGATTTTTTATGAGATGGGGCGGCGGCGGCGGAGTAAGAAGGAGGAGGGCCCGGGTGTGCTGCTGCCCTCTGTTTGCTTTAAGGTCGGCCTGGTTTCTCCTCGCGGGACGGCCCGGCTGGGCTGGGCTGGGGCTGCGCCCCGCGCGGGTGAGCGCCCGGGGGGCATTCCCCACCCCGGCGAGCTTCTCTGCGACTTGCCACCCACCTCCCGACTGATGATGGAAAAGTTTGTAGAGGCCGGAGTTAGAGTGTCCACGGTTCTCGGGTGGGCATTCCGCTCATGCAAACAATGATGCATCTGCGAGGCTCGGCGGGGAACCGGTCCGAACTGAGCTGTTTCCTTCCCTGTGTGCTCGCTGTTTAAAAAGCAAACACAAACTTTTGCGCAGCTCCTTGGAGAAGCCGCCGCCTCCCCAGCCCACCCATGGCGGATGAGATTGATTTCACTACCGGCGATGCCGGGGCTTCCAGCACGTACCCGATGCAGTGCTCGGCCCTGCGCAAGAACGGCTTCGTGGTGCTCAAGGGACGACCATGCAAAATAGTCGAGATGTCGACTTCCAAAACGGGGAAGCACGGCCATGCCAAGGTGGGTGCCCTTCCACGTCTGTTTTTGCGTTGAGGTTTGTTTTTTTATCATCGATTACATTACAGCACATGAGGCTTCTATACTTACAACTTTGTAATAAGCACTTTTTTTTTCCTTCCCACAATTACTGGGAGATCTGCTATTACTTTGAATACTGAAAAGTAGCATTTCCTTCTTGGGCCCTTATAACGTTTCATTAATTGGGAATTGAAACTTTCCTAGCGACTTAGATCTTCTTTTTTTTTTTTTTTTTAAGGTCTAGGAGTGTCTAAGACGTTTGGGACACTTCTTTTTTGATTTTTTACAGAGAGGAAGGGAGAGGGATAGAGAGCTGGAAACATCAATAAGAGAGAAACATCGATCAGCTGCCTCCTGCACATCCCCCACTGGGGATGTGCCCGCAACCAAGGTACATGCCCTTGACCGGAATCGAACCTGGGACCCTTCAATCCGCAGGCTGACGCTCTGAGCCAACCCGGTCAGGGCTAGATCTTCTAAGTCTTAGAAGATCTGTTCGGTTGACAAATGAGAAAACCTGTTCCAACCTAATTCTAAAACCTGACTTCATATGCCCTCTATTAGTTTAATGACGGGACTGCACATGATTTGGGGCTTGATAGATCATGATACCGTTTAGTTGCTCACTGCTTCTCCATTTTATGTCTACTATCTTTCTTTAAAGACAGTGAAATTAGATGACCTTGG